CGCAGCTGGGTAAGGGCCTCCGCTGGGTCCTAGAGCCTCAGGCCTGCCTACCTCAAACAGCCCTGATCACCTGGCTGTGGCTGCCTACGGTGGGTCTGCGTCTTCCTCATCCCACCCTTGGAGCTCACACAGGACATAACCCAGAAATCCAGTCTTGAGTAATTTATAAACCAGCCATCTCCTGCCCCTCACGCCCAGGGCCTTCCCAGAGTCCTGGAGCCTGTGAACACTCACGGGACGCTGCTTCCCCTGGCCTGAGGAACGAGAAGGTTCTGCAGGAACTGAGTCCGAAGGGAGCAGGCTGTCCGGACATCACGCTGGGGGAAGAGGATGGGGCGTAAGTGGGTTCCAGGCCTCTGCTTGATCCCTGACTCCCCACAGCCCCTCACAGCCCAGGACTCTCACCAACACCTCAGGCTCTAGGGCTGGGGCTGCTGACACCGGAGGTCCAAAGGTCACTTCCACTTTGGCTTTCCTGGAAGGAAGAGTGTAACTGGAATGGGGTTCTAGGGTCTGCCTGGCCCTCATGGGCTGTCTCTTGGCTACTGTCATCTCCGACATCAGACTCCTCATTGGTCTACGGTCCACCTCTTCCTGTCCCCTCTGGTCTGACAGTGGTCAGCAACCCTATTAAAATCCGGGGAAAGTCAGGCACAGTGGCTCATGCCTGAGATTCTAGCCAGTGGTTCTCAACCTTCCTAGTGCTGTGACCTTTTAATACAGTTCCTCATGGTGTGCTGACCCCCGACCTTAAAATATTTTGTTGCTACTTCATAAATGTCATTTTGCTACTGTTAGGAATCAATGTAAATATCTCTGTTTTCCAATTGTCTTAAGAGGTGACCGCCGTGAAAGGGTCTGCCAACGCAGGGGAGTTGCGACCCACAGGTTGAGAAACACTGGATTCCAGCACTCAGGCAGTTGAGACAGGAAGATCGCTGAAAGTCTGAAGTCAACCTGGGCTACACGGTGAGCTGCCAGTGGGTGCTGGGAATTGAACCCGGGTCCTCTGAAAGAGCAAGCAGTGCTCTTAACCACTGAGCCATCTCTCCAGCTCCCTGGGTGACACAGTACCGTGGGAGCCAGCACAGCTGCTGTGATTACAAAGCAAATTTAAGGCCAGTCTAGGTAACTTAGTAAGACTTTGTCTCAAATTTTATACAAAGTAAAAAAAAAGGGCAGGTTGGGGCTGGGAGAGATGGCTCTGTGGTTAAGAACACATATTGCTCCTGCACAGGACCTGGGTTTGGTTCCCAGTGCTCATACCCAGTGGCTCACAACTGCCTGTAACTCCAGCTCCAGGGGATCTCATGCCTTCTGGCTTCCATGGGCACCAGCATGCATGTGGTGCACAGAAACTCACACAGGCACACACATACACATAAGCAAAAACAATCAACAGATCTGCAAACAAGCAAGAGGGCCAGGGCTGGGCGTGGGGGCGCACACCTTTAGTCTCAGCACTCGGGAGGCAGAGGCAGGCGGATCTCTGTGAGTTCAAGGCCAGCCTGGTCTACATAGACCCTGTCTAAAACACAAAGCAAACAAAAGGTAAGGGGTGTGGCTCAGGAGTAAAGCACTTGTTCAGTACATGGGAGGCCTGAGGTGTAAGGCTGAGCACCACCACAGCAAACAGCTGCATGCAGGAAGAGATGGGTCAGAGGCAAGGCCTTCTACCCTTCCGGAGGACTTGGGTTGGATTCCCAGCACCCACGTGGCAGCTTTCAGTTCCAGGGGAGCCAATGCCCTCTTGTGGCTTCTGAGGGCACCCGGCACACGCATGGTGCACAGACATGCATGCCAGCAAAACACCCACATACATAAAAGAAAAGACAAACAAAACATGTACTCTTAAAAAAACAAAACACGCCCATGGCACTAAGGAGTGTCATGACACTTTTCTATCACACTCAGAACAGCTGGCAGACATCTGAGCACTTTCCATGAATCTGATTCACCTAATTCTTATACTAACTAGAGAGGCTGAACATTGGCACCATTCCATAGATCTGAGGAACAGAGGCACAAAGAATACTTCGCCCAAGATCATGCAGTTCTAAGTAGCCAAGCCAGGGCAAGTGGGGTTTCAGAGAGAAACTGCAGTGCCCCCATGGCTTTGCCCACCTCTCCCACTCCTCATATGTCCCCCTGGCCAGCTAGGCATGGGCTACTCCTGGCTGTCCATTCCCAAGCTGAGCTCTGGCCTCTAAGCTTGCTATGGAGACTCCTCCCCCAACTTAAACGTTACCCGTCTCCCTTCATCATACGATCCTTCACAGAATTTATCTCCTGAGGGATCTACCTGAAACTATGAGATATTTCTTGGTTACCATCTGCCTTCCATGCAGGAGGCCATCGGCTACAGGAGGGTGGGACCTAGTCTGTGTATTCGGGTGTTTCCTCAAAGCCAGTGTCCTAGATATCTAGTTGGCATCATAAATCCGGGTGCCCAAGATAATAGAACTCCTTGTCCGGATGGCCCCTACGTTACAGCTGGAAGCAGGAAGGGGCCAGGCAGAGCACCGGGGTCTCTGAGGAGAACGTCTGACCTCCCTGGGGAGGCTGCAGCCCACCTCTGCATGTCCTGCAGGCGCCTGAGCTGATTCTGCAGCCTCTGCATGGGATCTTGCAGTCCACGTTGCTGTCTTCGTACAGCCCTGGCTTGGGCCTGGAGGAGAAGAGTTCGGTGCTGGGTGTCTTTCAGGCTCTGCAGTGTCTGTGCCATGGCTGTGTCTGTGGGGGAACAGGGTGGCAGTCAGCACCTCCCTCACCCGGGTTTCACTGCCCACTGGGCTGCCCCCCCCCTCCCCGAGTCACCCTGAGCTTCAGTCTCCTGATCCACCAGCTCCAGACTCTGGTTCAGCCCTTGGACCTCTGCACGCAGGCGGGCCACAGTGGCTTCCAACTCCAACTTCTGACGGACCTGATGGGATCAGCACAGTGTCAGAGGCTAATGCTTGGACTCACTGAGGCTCAGCCTGGCTGGACCACCTTCTAGGTGGCACTAGGATCGGCTCCCGGGAGAGTCTATCTGGCTCTCTCCCTCCTGGGATTACCTCACCATCTTCTTGGTTTTCTGTGTGGCGATGCCCACATCACTGTCAGAGGCCTTTTCTTATTTTTTATTTTTATTGAGACAGGGTTTTTCTATGTAACTAGCTCAGTTAAACCTCACAGTCCTCCTGCTTCAGCCTCCAAGTGCTGGGATAAAAGGCAAGTACCACCACACCAAGCTTCTGTCTTAGTCTTTAAAAAAAAATGTGTGTGTGTGTGTGTGTACGCGTGTGCATCACATGCATACATGTGCCAGTGGAGGCCAGGTGTTGAATCCTCTAGAACTGAAATCACAGTAGGTTGTTAGCCATCTGCTTTGGATGCTGGATCTGAACTGGGGTCCCCTTCAAGAGCAGCAAGTGCCCTTAATTGTGGAGCCATCTCTCTAGTGTCCTCCTAGTCTTGACCTCTTCCTGTGTCCCTTAGCGGCTCCCAAAGCTGTCCTTTCTCCGGTGCTGTTTTTCATTAAATTCAGTAGCTGCCCCTTAAGCAACTGGGGTCCTAATTGGGCAGTTGCACCTCCGCAGCAGTTCGGCCAGTGCAGCTGTAGCCAGGTGGGAATTCTGTTCCCTCAGGCAGCGGCTCCATCATGGCCACTAAAGGGATCTTATCTAGATCTCCTCTATCCCTCTACGGAACTCAAGATTCAAAGGTTGAGGTGAAATTCTGCTCACTCAGAGAGCTGAATAGCAAGTAGCTATCAACCTCCTGACTGCAGGTTAATTTTATTTAATCAAACAAATGTAACACATCTTTGCATTTTTTTTTTTGAGAGAGTTTCTCTGTATAGCTTTGGAGTCTGTCTTAGAACTCACTTTGTAGACCAGGCTAGCCTCAAACTCACAGAGATCCACCTGCCTCTGCCTCCCAAGTGCTGGGAAAGGCGTGTGCCGCCACCACCTGGCCATCTTTGCATCATTAAACAAATATTTCACAGCATAAACAAATATAACACATCTTAAATTAATATTCCACAACACCCCATCTCCTCTTAGCAGCTTATTTATTTATTTATTTATTTATTTATTTATTTATTTATTTACTTTTACAGGGTCTCACTGTGTAGCCCGGGCTGTCCTTAGGCTCACGGTGATCCTTCTGCCTTCTCCTGAGTGCTGAGGCTACAGGGTCTCAGCTCAGTGCCCTCCTCTTGCCAACACTGGTGCCCCATGTCTATGTTCTGTTGCTCTCTACCCTACTCAGCTTGTGCCTGGCTCCCCCTGGACTACAGCCTCTGGGAGCACAAAGATCTGGGCTGTTTTGTGACACAGTGTCCCTGACAAATCCAGCCTAGAGCAAAATATTTGCAAGCTCTTTTCTGGTTGAAAGAGAATCTTACAGCGCGGGCTTCTCACCTTTGGATTGTCCTGATGGCCATACCTAAAGAAATGAGAGCAGAGTTAGATGGTCAGGGCTGCCAGGGAAGAAGGCAGGAAGCAGAGGCTGTGGATGAGTATGGCGACAGGACTGGGGAACACAGTTAGGGATGACTTTGAGAAGCAGTTACCAGAGGAGGTTTCCCCGGATCGTCTTGATACTCCTGCATTGGAAAGACGGAGGGTGAGGAGCTGCTGGGGCCTTGCCCATGCCTCTCCCTCCCTGGCCCCTCCCTGCACCAGCTTGGTTTACCTTTGACTGTGCACACGCTGCACGATGTAGGCCCAGATGTCAGCCCCCTGACCCAGACACAGCCTGTGGAGACACAGCAGAAGGTACGCCTGGGGCATCACCCAGGAGGAGGAGTCTCCACCATTCCCACGGGTATGGTGGTGGAAAGTCCCAAGAGTTCCCACTTCTGGGAAGAGAGGCCAGTGTCCTGGGGTGGGGGTGTCACCGAGCGGGTGGGCTTCTCACTAAGTGTGAGGGGCTTCTCATTCCACAATGGGGTTCTCTTTCTTCTAGGAGAGGGTTAGCTGTAGTCACTTACAGGGGTGGGTGTGAGAGGTCTACACTCAGGAAATGATCTTTCCTAACAGGGTCATGGGTTACTGTTCCTACAGATTCGGTCCCCAATTGGACGGCTACTGCTAACCACCCGATGTCATCTTCGCTTGGGGGAGAGTGGCAAAGGGGGGGGGGGTGTTGCAGGGGCCCCTTACTCTGCAGGTCCTGTTTTCACACTGTGGGTGGAGAGGGGCCCCATTAACGCTTGGACCATGACCACAGGGGTCAGGGATCACCACCTGGGCTCCTCACTCAACTCCAAGATTCTGTTTGTGGAGAGACCACTCCGGGTGGGGTGCTCTCATCCTCGGCGGGCTGGGGATCTCACTCCTGGAGGCT